TATGTGGTTATTAGGAGTGTTTGTCTCGGGATTTTTGTAGGTTTAGATTTTGTTGGTAGCAACAGGCAGTTATCCTGATTTTGTAAATTCGGTTATTGGGGGCCCTGGCGTGTGTATGTTTTGTTGAAATCACCTGTTTTTGAGGTGGTCTTTTTTTGTGGCATCAGTAATCATGTTTCTATTTTTCACTAAAGTATAAAATGTTTGACTGTGGTACTTGTAGATGTTTAAAAACTGTGGGGGTTTTTGGGTCTTTTGATTTAAATTTGCTATGATATATTCCCCATTTTCGTCCCTTGTGCAAGATTTTTTGTAATTCAAGTTGTTTTGAGTAGTTATAGCGTTCCTCTCCCTTGCTGGTTGTTTACGTTGTGTATCCCATGTAGCCAGGAAAATGGTATGACATCGTAATTCAGGCTTAAGCCAGGTTTTGTGAGTGTGATGACTGATTATTGGAATAAAGGGAAATTGAGAATGCTGTGGGTTCATAGTTTGCTCAGGATTGTGATTTGTAGTTAAAGATGGTTAGTTTTTGTTAGCACTGAATAATTTTTTTTTGTTTGGTTGCGTGTGTAATTACAGTTAGGTTGTTTTCTGTATTTATTTTTTAAAAAGTTTACATCAGGTTTTGTCTGAATCCGGGGGTAATTTTACAAACTAGATTTTCTGAGAAAAAAATTTATAAGTTTTATTGGATCTAAATAGTCTTTGACTAAGACTCCGTTTTTTTAAATCTAAAATTTTGAAAAACTTGAAAAAAAAAGGGGATTATTACAGAATAGATAATTTAGTTATAATTAAGATTAAAAGCACCCTTATTATTTTAAACAAGTGAGTTTTAAAACAGTAGATTTTACGTAAAAAAAAGGGAGAAATAATATAATATAAAAGAATGTATTAAAAGCAAATCAGTAGCACCTGAGGTTTAGTCTATAGCACCTGGAGTATTTTAATAAATGTGATATATGGAAAAGGAGAGAAAAAAATAAATAAACGAGCTTGGGAATATAATGGCAAAATAGTGAACTTATTACTCTTTAGCACCTGAGAATAGCACTTTGATTATTTTAACAATTGTGAATATATGAACTAAGGTAGTTTTATAAAGCTAAAATGAAGGGGGAAAGTATGTAATATTCAAGGGGTATACATAGGCTCAGAGTGAGGTTTGCAGTACTGAAAACAGAAAACCCTGCCATCACGTAGTCTCTCCTGTTAATACTACACAAGTACATTACAGAGAATGAACATTGAAACAGGCTGCCTCTATCCAGCCTCCAATAGAAATATTTGTCTAACCTATTTTTATGTTTCCCAAGTAATAGCTTTTTTTTTCCTTTTACTCATGTGCAAGTTAGTAGTTCTAACTATTGTATTACTACTACTACTACAACTTATATCACTACTACTATTACTACCACTAGTATTGCACGTTACTCTGAGCCTATATATACCCTCTGTGTCCATGTACTGTTTGTAACGGCTTGACAAAGCTCCTGGGGGAGCGAAACGTTGCCAAAATTTAAAATGTCACATTAGTTGCACTTGTGTCCTTTTATTTTAATACAATCTTAACCTGCTACGTTTCTTTGTTTTTAAGCCTAGTAGAAATAGAATGTCTTTTTTTTTGGGAAAATCCTCTCCGAAGACCATTTTAATCTAGTAACACCCAACTGGCATTCCCCTGCCACCGTGGGCCTGTTATATATAAAGCTTTTCACAGCTGGTAGAATATTGCCAGTTTGTTGTGAACTGCTATCCTCGCTCCCCGGCTTGAATTCAGCTGTCAACATGAAGCTTGTGAGTTGAACTTAGTTTTAATAATGTCTCATACAACGACTTGAGTTATTAGTAATTAGGGAGTTTTACAACACAAAACCAACACTTTCTTTTGTTCTTTTGGTAATGGGGAGCAATACTCACAACATTAGGCTTAACATGAATTTTTTCTTTTAATTTACTCTTTATGGTTTAATGTTTAGTCATTCATTGATCCAGCAAAACTTAGCCTAGCCTAACCTGGAACCTAACCTAACCTAACCTAACCTACGGCCTTTAAACACCAATGGTATATAATACCGACAAGTTGAAGAATTAGACATAGGTGCAACAACTGAGTATATTTATTACGTAGACGTTTCGCCATCAGTGGGTTTATCAATACAATACATCGACAAAAACAGAAGACTGACGAGGGACTGATTACGTCACCTTCTACCTCTTCAGTCTTCTGGTTTTTGTCTCGGTGATGTATTGATAAAGCCACTGGATGGCAAAAACGTCTACATAATAAAGATACCCAGTTGTTGCACTTGTGTTTAATTCTTCAACTTGTCGGTATTATTGATGTTATGATACATATCAGACACAGAAACTCGGTACAGAGGACAACTCCACAACTACTTACTACCTATGGCCCAAGGGGAGATCCCACGTACCAGTGACAACACCTTTGTCTGCTGCACCTAATCTGACTCCAGTATATAAGTCCACTTCCTGCCTGTGCTTCAGATTCATCAAGACTGCGGTACTGAGCACTTGCTGCTAAGTTGACGGACTGATTACTCACCTTTTAAAGATAAAGACTAAAATTATTTATTTCATCATGATACAATGTTTGTAGAGATGGGTGACATTTAGGTGTGTATGTAGTCAATTAAAGCCCTTTTAGTTTTTGTCGTTTTTGTCCCTGCATTGTATTCATAAAACCGCTGTTTGGCGAAATGTCTACATGATAAGGACTCAGTTGTTATATCTGTGTGTAATTCTTCTAAGCTACTCTACCCTATCCTCACTTAACCAAACCTGATGTAGTCGCAGTGTAGAAAGTAAACACTACCGCTTTTAGACTCGTCACCCACGTAAGTTGGGTCTCCCATAAATATTTATTATTTTAGCACCTCTAAGCAGTCTTGTAAAGTTTACTGGTGTAGCACTTTCAGACATAAGTTAGGAAAACTAAAAGCTGAGAGAAAGTACAAAAGTAATTGAGGTTTGATGTTATTCTTTTAATTTGAAAGTTTGGCACAGATATTTTTTGTTATATAAAGGGTAACAGTGAAATATATTTCTCATTATTAGCCAAACAGGAATATAAATAGCGTGCTTGACTGCACAAATTGAAACGCATTCACTGAAAGAATTCAAAACTATCTACATGGTCTCATCGTTTGGTTTTTACGATATCTTACAGATTCACTTGATCCTGGTGGTGGTAGTGATGACCATCTCTGTGCTGATGGGGTCAGCTCTGGCTGACCCTGATCCATCGGCTCTGGCAGGTCCAGGGCCCTCCCCTAACAGGTGTTGTCCCTGTGATGATGGTACTTTCCCTGGCGATTTTTAACCACAGCGGCCGCAGCGCGTTCTCCTGAATGAAATGAAAACTTTACCCTCTGTATTTGCTCGTAGATGCCACTGATGCAAAGTTCTGTGAGACGATGCTGCTAGATATCCAATATTGTGCAGGGCAGTACACAAGTGTCCAGTACTGTGCACAAGTTTTTAGTACTATAGGCAATTGTCCGGCACTGTGCGGAAGAGTCGAGTCCCTCAGCAAATAATTCTCCAGACACCAGGAAGATGTTGAGCCAATTCCTTCACTTCACCTGGAAACAAGTTACTTCTTATCCCTGTTCCCACATCCAACTGTTGAAATTTCAACTTAATTTTGTATGTTAAAAAAAACTCCGTATGTGATTACGCATTTATAAATAAAAGCTCTGTGTTATGTACTCTTTGAGTAAATACAAATATCCTTATTTCTTCTGAACAGTTTCCTTCAGAATCTGTCATAGGCCTACTGATCCACAAATGCAACAGAGGCACCACTTCTGGCCTTGCAAGTGCAGGTTCATTCAATGATGACAATAATAATGAATGTTTTTTTCATACACTAATGTGTGTATTATTATATTTTTTTTCCTGGAAAATCCAGTACACAGTGCCAGTTAAACTTCGTATTCCCTGAGTCGGCAACACTGCCGGTCTTTATATAAATACGTCTGATGACAGCCAGTTTGAACAGTGGTCGGTTCTGTAATGAACGGATGTCATTAATCTCAACCCGAGTTTACTCAGTTATCAACATGAAACTAGTGTATTGAACACAGTTTTAGTCATGCATCATAAACCGATTTTGTGTTCTCAGTAATTTTGGGACCTACTGATACAATATTTTGGTACTGGGTAACAATACCCACAACATTAAGCTATACTGGAAGCTTTTTCGTTCTTTGTTGATGTAGCTAACAGTGTTAATTAGTTTACTCTCTCACTTTGGTGGTAAGTTCACTCACAGACTTAACATAACAGAACATAACCTCTCCCCTAACCTACCATACACTATTCTTACTTAACCTAACCTGTTTCAATCTCTGTATAAAAGAGTAAACACAGCCACTCTTGCTTACACTTATTACAGTTTCCCTAAAAGATATTTATTATCCTACACCACTAACTAAGCAGTCTTTTAGTGACGTAGCACATACAGTTAGACAGGAGACGAAAAACTTAGAGCTAAGATACTGTAGGGACATTTATCAATTTTTGAAGCAAAAGCAGTGGAAAACATTTTACTAAACATATTTCTCGTTATTAACCAAGCAGTAACATAAATTTTTCTTTTGCTCGGTGGTACGAAATTAAATGCATTCAAAGAAAGATTTTATAGATATTGACATGAATCCTCGTATAGTTTTCGATATCTTACAGATTCATTTGATCTTGATGGTGGTGATGACCATCTCTGTGCTGATGGGATCAGTCCGAGCCTTTCCTGACCCTTTAGCCCTGGCTGACCCTGTTGCTGAAGCTTTGGCTGACCCTGCTGCTGAAGCTTTGGCTGACCCTGCTGCTGAAGTTTGGCTGACCCTGCTGCTGAAGCTTTGGCTGACCCAGCTCCTGAAGCCCTGGCTGACCCTAATCCCTTGGCTCTGGCTGGCCTAGTCCCCAAACGTCGGAAGGACTGCCCCTGTTACACCATTTTCGGTCCTTGCCCTTTTATATGCTCATAGACGCCATCGATATATGGCGCTGTGAGGGTGATATAGCCAGATGTCCAGTGTTGTACGTACATGTCCAAAACTGCCCACATGCGTTCATTACTTTTAAACAAGTGTCGACACTATACAGAAGTGTCCATTACTGCACACAAGTCTCCAAACACCTGGAAGGTATCTGGTCAACTCCTTCACTCCACCAAGACACAACCTACTAGCATCATTCTTATTCCTTTCCCAAATCCATTTCTTGAAAATTTTAATTGAACTTTCTATCTTAATACTTTGTTTGTGATTATTATGTACTCACAAATAAAAGATTCACATTATATAACATTTAATTAACTACATATAACCTTACCATCTCGACAATTTCTCTCGGTATGTTGTTCTGTGTCTCTCAGGTTTGTCCTCGCAGTAATGTCGTGAAGTCAAAGGTACTCTCTTCATTTTTTTTCAACAAGTCGGCCGTCTCCCACCGAGGCAGGGTGACCCAAAAATGAAAGAAAATCCCAAAAAGAAAATACTTTCATCATCATTCAACACTTTCACCACACTCGCACATTATCACTGTTTTTGCAGAGGTGCTCAGAATACAACAGTTTAGAAGCATACACATATAAAGATACACAACATATCCCTCCAAACTGCCAATATCCCAAACCCCTCCTTTAAAGTGCAGGCATTGTACTTCCCATTTCCAGGACTCAAGTCCGACTATATGAAAATAACCGGTTTCCCTGAATCCCTTCACTAAATATTACCCTGCTCACACTCCAACAGATCGTCAGGTCCCAAGTACCATTCGTCTCCATTCACTCCTATCTAACACGCTCACGCACGCTTGCTGGAAGTCCAAGCCCCTTGCCCACAAAACCTCCTTTACCCCCTCTCTCCAACCCTTTCGAGGACGACCCTACCCCGCCTTCCTTCCCCTATAGATTTATATGCTTTCCATGTCATTCTACTTTGATCCATTCTCTCTAAATGACCAAACCACCTCAACAACCCCTCTTCTGCCCTCTGACTAATACTTTTATTAACTCCACACCTTTTCCTAATTTCCACGCTCCGAAATTTCTGCATAATATTTACACCACACATTGCCCTTAAACGGGAAATCTCCACTGCCTCCAACCGTCTCCTCGCTGCTGCATTTACCCCCCCAAGTTCACACACCCATATAAGAGTGTTGGTATACTACTATACTTTCATACATTCCCTTCTTTGCCTCCATAGAAAAACGTTTTTTAACTCCCACATATACCTCAACGCACCACTCACCTTTTTTTCCCTCATCAATTCTATGTTAACCTCGTCCTTCATAAATCCATCCGCCGACACGTCAACTCCCAAGTATCTGAAAACTTTCACTTCTTCCATACTCCTCCCTCCCAATTTGATATCCAATTTTTCTTTATCTAAATCATTTGGACCCCCTCATCACCTTCCTCTTTTCTATGTTCACTTTCAACTTTCTACCTTTGCCACATTCCCAAAACTCACCCCACAAACCTTTGAAATTTTTTCTTTAGAATCCCCATAAGCACAGTATCACAGCAAAAAGTAATGTGTCAATTCCCATTTTGAATTTGATTCCCCAAAATTTAATCCCACCCCTCTCCCGAACACCCTAGCATTTACTTCCTTAACAACCCCATCTATAAACCATGGTGCATTACAATCCCTGTCTAAGACCTATTTTTAAAACGGAAGAAATTTCTCCCTCTCTTCTACACACCCTAACCTGAGCCTCACTATCCTCATAAAAAGTCTTTACAGCATTTAATAACTTACCACCTATTCCATATACTTGCAACATCTGCCACATTGCTCTCCTTATGCACTCTATCATATGCCTTTTCTAAATCCATAAATGCAATAAAAACTTCCCTACCTTTATCTAAATACTGTTCACATATATGCTTCAATGTAAACACTTGATTTACACATCCCCTACCCACTCTGAAATCTCCTTGCTCATCCGCAATCCTACATTCTGTCTTACCTCTAATTCTTTCAATTATAGCCCTACCGTACACTTTTCCTGGTATACTCAGTAAACTTATTCCTCTATAATTTTTACAGTCTCTTTTGTCCCCTTTCCCTTTATATAAAGGGACTATACATGCTCTCCGCCAATCCCTAGGTACCTTCCCCTCTTTCATACATTTATTAAACAAAAGTACCAACCACTCCAACACTTTATCCCCCCCTGCTTTTAACATTTCTGTCATGATCCCATCAGTTCCAGCTGGCTTTATATCCCCTTTCATTTTACGTAATGCCTCACGTACCTCCCCCAACACTTATATTCTGCTCTTCTTCACTCCTAAAAGATGGTATACCTCCCTGACCAGTGCATGAAATTACTGCCTCTGTTTCTTCCTTAACATTTAAAAGTTCCTCAAAACATTCTCGCCATCTACCTAATACCTCCCTCTCCCCATCTACTAACTCCCCTACTCTGTTTTTAACTGACAAATCCATACTTTCCCTAGGCTTTCTTAACTTGTTTAACTCACTTCCAAATTTTTTCTTATTTTCATTAAAATTTCTTGACAGTGCCTCTCCCACTCTATCATCTGCTCTCCTTTGCAATCTCTCACCACTCTCTTTACCTTTCTTTACTCTCCATATACTCTGCTCTTCTTATAACACTTCTGCTTTGTAAAAACCTCTCATAAGCTACCTTTTTCTCTTTTATCACACCCTTTACTTCATCATTCCACCAATCACTCCTCTTTCCTCCTGCCCCCACCCTCCTATAACCACAAACTTCTGCCCCACATTCTAATACTGCATTTTTAAAACTATTCCAACCCTCTTCAACCCCCCCACTACTCATCTTTGCACTAGCCCACCTTTCTGCCAATAGTCGCTTATATCTCACCCGAACTTCCTCCTCCCTTAGTTTATACACTTTCACCTCCCTCTTACTTGTTGTTGCCACCTTCCTCTTTTCCCATCTACCTCTTACTCTAACTGTTTCCTGACGAACCTTACCTAACCTAACCTCTAACTGTAGCTACAACTAAATAATGATCCGATATATCAGTTGCCCTTCTATAAACATGTACATCCTGGAGCCTACCCATCAACCTTTTATCCACCAATACATAATCTAACAAACTACTTTCATTACGTGCTACATCATACCTTGTTTATTTATTTATCCTCTTTTTTATAAAATATGTATTACTTATTACCAAGTAATATTTTTTATCAATGTGACTGCATTGCAAGTAGATTCATGAGTAAAAAAGAAATAATGTAGTTTTCCAGTTTAGTTTACAGCTGTATATATGTAGTGATTTGAATAGAAAACGTAAATCTTTTTTTTAAATAAAAAAAACATAGTAGCCACTGTTAGTTGTCAAACAGTATCTCGTGTATCAGTGTAGTACAGTGTAGTACAGTGTAGTACAATGTAGTACAGTGTAGTACAGGGAGTACAATGTAGTACAGTGTAGTACAGTGAGTACAGTGTAGTACAGTGTAGTACAGTGTAGTACAATGTAGTACAGTGTAGTACAGTGTAGTACAACGTAGTACAGTGTAGTACAATGTAGTACAGTGTAGTACAGTGTAGTACAGTGTAGTACAGTGTAGTACAATGTAGTACAGTGTAGTACAGTGTAGTACAGTGTAGTACAGTGTAGTACAACGTAGTACAGTGTAGTACAGTGTAGTACAATGTAGTACAGTGTAGTGCAGTGTAGTACAGTGT